TTCATATATATATTTTATTGACCATATATATATATATATATATATATATATATATATATATAGTTGCTAATATATGTATTTTATTGATTTCAGAGAGAAAAGGAGAGGCAGAGAGAGATAGAAACATCAATGATGAGAGAGAATCATTGATCGGCTGCCTCCATCACAGGCATGTGCCTGACTGGGAATGGAACTGTTTGACCTCCTGGTTCATAGTCGAAGCTCAACCACTGAGCCACACCGGCCGGCTCAGCACTGTTTCCATTCCTCTCCTCCTCTGTGTCCCAGCTGCCATCTCTTTCCAGGTGCTCTAAGGGTCAGCTGTGTCTGGACATTGAGAAACAAGCAAACAGTGACATGGGAGGGTCATGCTAGAGTCCGGAGGGAGCTGTGAGGATCAGCGAACCCGCCAGGGAGAGCAGGACGGCTTCCGGAGTGGGTGGTGCACAGGGGGCGGCGATGAGACACAGGGCACAGCCCGGGGTCTTCAGTGAGGTCCGGGCCAGCGCATCAGCACGCTCTGAATGAGAAACCCCGGGGCAGGGCCCACCCGCAAGGGAGCCTGGGAGATGGAGCTGGACAACCTTCCAGGTGGTTCCGATGCCTAATCCAGAGTGTGAACCAAGAGTCTAGACCAGTGGTTCTCAACCTTCTGGCCCTTTAACTACAGTTCCTCATGTTGTGACCCAACCATAAAATTATTTTCGTTGCTACTTCATAACTGTAATGTTGCTACTGTGATGAATCGTCACGTAAATATCTGATATGCAGGATGGTCTTAGGCGACCCCTGTGAACGGGTCGTTCGACCGCCACAGGGGTCACGGCCCACAGGTTGAGAACCGCTGGTCCAGAAAAAGGGTGGGCATGCTCTCCCCAGAGAATTGAACTGTGAACGACAGTGCAGTGAGAAGTTCATGTCGGATTCCAAAGGGACCTGTGTCCCTCTGAGTGGAGAACAGACGCCAGGCCATGGCACATGTGCAGCCGGATTCCTGCAGTGCTTCCTACTGTCCTGAGGCCGGGTCAACAGGCTGGAAAGTTAACTTCCCTGTCCTTAATTTTTGTGTGGAGTGATTTCTTTTCAAAACATTTCGATTAAGTTCAATTTGCATTTTAAACAGAAGACAGCCTGGAATAACTGAAATAGAAGAATAAAGACATAAAACTGTACGTCAGGTTTGAAAAATTATTCCGAGTGCCTGGGGTTGGGAATACACACGGAAAGCCTGCAGGCTAGGGCTCGAGCAGTGGGAGAAGCCCATTCAACTCCCTCTCATTTCGCTACTGAAACTTTACAACTCCGTGTGTTCATCTTCATAATGCTCAGGTGTGCGCTGTGATGCTAAAACCCACGTAGACCGTGGTTAGTTAACTTGTGCAGACAAGTGAAAAGAAGACCAAACAAAATCAACCGGATGGTATATGATTGGACGTGGCTTTAGACATCAGCTTCAAAACTGTCCTCTGCTCTCAGTTTGAGGACTCAGTAGCCTGTCTTCAGCTATCGCTAGACAGAGCTGTGGTCGATGTTGAATGTAAAGGGCTCAGATGTACCTTTTTATTTTTTAAATATACTTCATTGATTTTACAGAGAGGAAGGGAGACGGGTAGAGAGTTAGAAATATTGATGAGAGAGGAACATGGATCAGCTGCCTCCTGCACACCACCTACTGGGGATTGAGCCTGCAACCCAGGTACATGCCCTTGACCGGAATTGAACCCGGACCCTTCAGTCCGCAGGCCGATGCTCTATCCCAGGGGTGCGCAAACTCCGGCCCGTGGGTCACCTGTGGCCCACCGAAAACATTTATCCTGCCTGCCAGGTGTTTTTGCTGCTGCTGCCTGTTGCTTAGCAGCCGACTTGTCCGGGCCCGCAGTGTGCTTGTGTGGAATGTGCGCCGCACTCTCCGACTCCCCTCCTTCTCTCTGTTTCTGGACTCCTCCTCTCAGTCTCGGGTGTGATCGGACCAGTCACGAGCTTGCCTGTGCAGAGCCTGCTGCTGCCTGAGGACCGAGGTAAGAACAAGTTAGGATTTATTTTTTTTTGAAGTTAGGAGGTCTATTTTTTTTATTTTGCAGTTAGTAGGGCCTTTTTTTTTGAAGTTAGGAGAGCCTTTTTTTTTTTGAAGTTTTGTTTTTTACTTCAAAATAAGGTATGTGCAGTGTCATAGGAATTTGTTCATAGTTTGTTTTTAAACTATAGTCCGGCGCTGCAACGGTCTGAGGAACAGTGAACTGGCCCCCTGTTTAAAAAGTTTGAGGATCCCTGCTCTATCCACTGAGCCAAACCGGTTAGGGCTGATGTATCTTTTAAAAAATTAAATGTATTGGGGTAACATTAGGTAATAAAATTATATAGGTTTCAGGGGTACAATTCTATGTCAGCTGTACTGTATATGGTATTGTGTGTTCACCACCCCAAGCCAATTCTCCTTCCATCACCATCTATTCCCCCTCTTACCTCTCTTTGCTCCCCGTTGATACTCACCATTCTGTTGTTTGTGTCTATGAGGTGTTTTTTCTTTCTTTTTTGCTTAATCCCTTCACCCTTTTCACCCAGCCCACCCGCTCCTCTCTGACAGCTGTCAGTTTGATCTCTATCTATGAGTCTGTTTCTATTTTGTTGTTGTTGTTAAACCTCCCCTGAGGATATTTTTCCATTGACTTTAATTTAGAGAGAGTGGGAGGGAGGGGAGAGAGACACAGAGAGAGACACATTGATGTGAGAGAGACACATTGATCGTTGCCTCTTGAATGCACCCCTACCGGGGTGGGGATGGAACCTGAAGCCCAGGTACATGCCCTTGGGTGGGAATCGAACTCTAACCCTTTGGTGTGTGGGGTTACATTCTAACCACTGAGCTACACTGCCCAGGGCTCTATAAAAAAAAATCCTCCCCTGAGGATATGTTCATTGACTTTAGAGAAGAAGTGGTGGTGGAGGCGGGGAGAGGCAGAAACACTGAGGTGAGAGAGAAACACTGATCACTCCAACTGGGATCAAACCTGAAGCCTTTGGTGTGTGGGACGATGCTCCAGTGGAGCCACCCAGCCAGGGCGGTCTGTTTCTATTTTGTTCATCGGTTTTTTTGTTCACTAGCGTCCACAGGAGTGAGATCATGTGACACCTGTCTTTCTCCGTCTGGCTTACTTAGCATAATGCTCTCCAGGCCCATCCGTGCTGTCACAGAGATTTCCGTCTGTTTTAGGGCCGGTGGTATTCCACTGTGCAGACGTCCCACAGCTCCTTAGCCACTCCTCTGTGATGGGCCTTGGGGCTGCTCCCAGGTCTTGGCTATTGTACATACGCTGCAATGAACACAGGGGGTGCATATCCTTTTGAACTCACGTTGTGCGTTCCTGCAGGTACAGCGTGCCCAGAGTGGATCGGTGGAGCAGAAGGCAGTTCCATTTTCAACTTTTTGTGGAGACGCCATACAGTGGCCACCAGCAGACACCAGGGTCCCATTCCCTTTTCTCCACTTCCTCACCAGCACTGTTGTTTGTTGAGCGACTGATGGTAGCCATTGTGACAGGTGAGAGGGATCCCTCATTGTAGTGTTAACTGGCAGTTCTTTGATGAGGAGAGATGTTGAGTGTTTATCACATGGCTGGTGGCCATGTGTATGTCCTCTAAGGAGAAAGAAGAGTGACGTAAAGGCAGATTTACTCCCGTGTGCCAAGCTCTGCCACTGCCACCCTGGTACCCACGCAGACACGCAGCAGACACCGGGAGCTCTGATTCTTAAAAGGAAGGGCCAATTGGTTAAGCTGGGGGTGTCACAGCCTTTAAGTACACTGTTGTGTAGCATTTCCCTCTTTCCATCTAGATCAATGGTTCTCAACCTCCCTAATGCCGCGACCCTTTAGTACAGTTCCTCATGTTGTGGTGACCCCCAATTTCATTATTACAAATTGAACATAATTAAAGCATAGTGATTCATCATAAAAATAATATGTAATTATATATGTGTTTTCTGATGGTCTTAGGCGACCCCTGTGAAAGGGTCGTTCGACCCCCAAAGGGGTCCCGACCCACAGTTTGAGAACCACTGGTCTGGATTGATAGTGTTCACATCTTAAAAATGTGTACATTCTGTTAGCTGGTTTGGCTCAGTGGATAGAGCATCCGCCTACGGACTGGAGGGACCAGGTTTGATTCAGGCAAAGGACACATACCAGGGTTGTGGGCTTGGTCCCTGGGGGGCTGGGGGGGGGGGTGCCGGGGTGCGGTCCCCTGTGGGAGGGTGCAGGAGGCAGCTGATAAATGATTCTCTCCATCATTGATGTTTCTCTCTCTCCCTCTCCCTTCTTCTCTGAAATCAATAAAAATATATTTTTAAAAAATGCGTCAAGCCTTGCGGGTTTGGCTCAGTGGATAGAGCGTCGGCCTGCGGACTGAAGGGTCCAGGGTTCTATTCCGGTCAAGGGCGTGTGCCTTGGTTGCGGGCACGTCCCCAGTGGGGAGTGTGCAGGAGGCGGCTGATGGATGTTTCTAACTCTCTATCCCTCTCCCTCCCTCTCTGTAAAAAATAGATAAAATATATATTTTTTTTTATTTTTTATTTTATTTTATTTTTTTAAAATATATTTTATTGATTTTTTACAGAGAGGAAGGGAGAGGGAGAGAGAGATAGAAATATCAATGATGAGAGAGAAACATCGATCAGCTGCCTCTTGCACGCCCCCCACTGGGGATGTGCCCGCAACCAAGGTACATGCCCTTGACCGGAATCGAACCCGGGACCCTTGAGTCCGCAGGCCGATGCTCCATCCACTGAGCCAAACCGGTTCTGGCTATATATATTTTTTTAAAGTGTCGATTCCGCGCTTGAGAAGCAATCTAGGAGGAAAGGGTGCACCGGAAGACCTCGCCCCAAAGCCGGGGGAGCATAGAGGCGGGGCACGGGGTAAGCGGAAAGAGGAACGGGAGCGCGCTCGCGCGCTCGTGCACATGCCCATGCGCGCGCGCCCGCGGCAGAGCCGGCTGCGTCTCCCTCCGTCGACGCACGCGCGCCCGCCCCTCGCTCCACCAGCGGCGCGACCGTAAAGAGGCCCGGCGGTGTCGTGAACGGGGCCGCAACGCGCAGGGAGCTGGTTGACGGCCGGGCCTCCATTTTGTTCGCGGCTGCTCTGCGCGTAAGTCGCCCCTTTCCGTGGCTTCTCGGCGGCGGAAAGTTGGACCCGGGTAAAAGTTTGCGAGGCGGTTCTGGGACTCTGTGGCTAAGCGTAGCGAGTCTCCGTTTTCTCTCCGCAGCCGACGCCGACCCTGCGGTCCCCGGAGGAGCGAGGAGGATGCGGCCCCTGGACATCGTCGAGCTGGCGGAGCCGGAGGAGGTGGAGGTGCTGGAGCCCGAGGAGGACTTCGAGCAGTTCCTGCTGCCCGTCATCCACGAGATGCGCGAGGACATCGCGGCGCTGACGCGCGAGCACGGGCGCGCCTACCTGCGCAGCCGGAGCAAGCTGTGGGAGATGGACCACATGCTCGTGCAGATCCAGACGCAGGTGGAGGCCTCGGAGCAGAGCGCGCTCAACCACCTGCAGGGCCCGGGCGCCGGCGCCGAGGGCCGCGGGGCGCGGCGCGGCGACCAGGCCGAGGAGAAGGCCCAGGAGGTCGCGAAGATGGCCGAGATGCTGGTGGCGCTGGTGCGGCGGATAGAGAGAGCGAGTCGTCCTGAGCGGCCGGCGGTGAGCGGCGCCGGGGCCGCCGCGCGCTCGGGACCCTCGGGGCGGGAGG